AGAAGTAAATCCAGAAGTTAAACAGATGGAGATAAAAGATGTTTTATTAGTAATGTGATTGTGTACATAGAAAACTCAAAGGAATTTATAAAAAATTAGTAAATAAATTACAAGCTTGCAGGATACAATGCATTTGTATCTACTGACAATGAATAATTTTTTTAAATTTCAAGTATACCAATTATAGTAGAACAATGAAAATCAGATGCTTAGGATCTGTGCACTAAAAAATTATAAAACATGGCTAGAATAAATTTGGGAGGTTCTAAATAAATGTAAGCTTTCTGAAAATGCTCTAAATCATGATCTGGGCAGCAAGTTACATGCATGTGTGCATATGTAGGCATTTATTGATCTGTATATGGTAAAGTTTTCTGCACTTTACCATATGTGAATTATACCTCAATTAAAAAATTTTTTAAAAGTTAACAAAGAAACTGACAAAAAATACAAACTAGATTAGGGGCATGAATTAGATATGTAGCCGAAATAGACTCTTCAATATTTGACCTCAGAACCAGGTAGATTGACCTGTTTAGCCTTCTGGCAGAGCTGGAAAACTACAGCCTGCATTAACCGAGGGCCTGAGAACTAATCGGAACCTTTGAGGACTGTGAAGTTCCTGGCTCCGAATGCCAGAGAAAGGGACTGAGCTGAACACGCCCAGTTTCTCTTTCTCAATACAACAGTAAGATGAATCAGTCCTCTCTTCACATGAGGGAAAACAGGAGACCAGAGATGTTACTCAGCAGAAGGCTCTTCACAAAGGAGTGTCAGCTTCAGGGAAAGGAGGGCACTTCTCCCCAGAGGTGATTTAACTTCTTTGTGCTTTAGTCTTCTTGTTCCTAACATGGTGATGATAGAACCCCCGTCCCCACCTCAAACTACAAGACCAGCAAAACAAGAACGAAACTGCTGCAACAGACATTTTTTAAAGGGAAAAAATATGTCTTTTGAAAGCTATTTAAAAATACACCTACTTAGAGAAAAAAAAATTGTGCAAGGATTAAAAAAGATAATATATGTGAATGGCTTTGCCAAGTACCAATAAATGTGGAATTGGAGAAGCAAAGCATTGAAACATTAGATAGGGAGAGATCAGCAGAAAGAGATTAGTTAGTTTAGGAAACAAAGACCCAAGAAGGTCTAGATTCTTGATCAAGTTCCTTGGCTTGTTGGAAATACCTTGTTGATCTATTGCAGCAGAACTGCTTCTAGGTGCCAGGTGTTCATGTGCATACCTAGTCCAGAGTTCTTTCTACTCTACCACTCTACAGAATAGCCATCCTAAATGGCAGAGGCTAGAACCACTGGCCCTTCTCCTGACCGTCATGAATTTCCTGTTTTCTGAAGGTGCGCAGCCTGCTCCTACCCCCGTGGAGCCCTTGTGCGCTGTCGCCCTCGGGCAGCAATTTACAGCCCTTGTTCTGCTTATGCAGTAAGAACAAGATTACTGTTTAGAATGAAGGTACCTATTTTCACAATCCACTGTGAAGTAGTTAGGCAGGTCTTCTTTTGAAGGTAAACAAACAGTCAACTACAATTATTTGATTCATTTAGGACATTAGAAAAGGTAATGGTTTAATGATACCCTAGTGGTCTAACAGTTAATGCACCACAGAAAATGAATCATAAAATCCCCTTCTCATGAATGACTCTGCTTCTAGTGTTATGAAAAGGCACTAAACCCCAGGGCATCAGTGTTTTCACCTTACCACCAAGTGACAGTATTTGGTAGTTTGTATTTTTTATTCACTGGTCATGGAGATACAGGATTCAGCGGGTTGGGGGGTGGGGGGACGGGACAGGAGAATCTGTAACGCATTTTATTTTGAACAAACAAAAAGTGAGAGAGCCTTGCAACAGTATCTGAGATAGCTGCTATGGCAAAGGAAATGGTCCTGATAAGACCAGCTGGTTTTCCAAATCCATGTCACACGTTCCCAAAGGCTAGTTCATACTGAGCTGGGGCTGTAGTAGCCGAAGAGAGCATTCTTAGTGATGGCAGCAAACCCTTCATGTGTAGGCGCAGTAGATGGTAAGGCAAGGAAGTACATGTGCTCACTTCAGATTTACACAGACATACACGTTGTTTGTGTTTAGTTTGGAAAGGAGTGTGAGTTACAAATAGTCCTTGAAAACCTGTGCCTAGCCGCCTGGCTCTCCATGTGAGACATACTGCAGGGAATAGTTTGGGTGCCAATATGTGGAGTCCGAGAGACAGCTGTGTGCACTCGGAATGATCCCAGGGAGAAGCCCCAAGCCTTCTTGACAGTGACACTGGTGCCCAGCCGGATGCCCTGTCCTCGGTCACCAGAAAGTGGCTCCTCCTCTGTAGATTTCTATATACCTGCACCATGTTGCCGCTGAGTGTAACAGAAAGAACAAGGATGAAGGGGGCATTGGGGCACTACCACCCTTTCCTCATTTGGAAATGGTGAGCTTCATGTCAGTTTGGCAGGATTATCACGAGCTCATTTGAGTATTGTATTTAACAAATGCAAAAAACATAGGGAGTACTTTAGATAAATGTAAAATTAGTTAAAATTAATATGAATGTTCTACTGATTTTTATTGTATATCTATGTGTATACACATATGTATACATACATGTATATATATTTATATGTGTTAGTGTGTGTGTGTGTATGTATACACCTTACCCATAAGAACATTAGTAAATAGATACAGTCACAGGACAGTGCGGCTCAAGAAACATGTCACCATTTGATCAGTTTGCCTGGTTTACATCTGTGTTTCCAGAATAATTATTATTCACTTTATTCTCCAAAGTGGCCCAGCTTGGACAATAATTAAATGATCACCCTCAATAAAACTCAGTAGGAAAACACTGATTACAGAGAAATCTAAGAACAGTTACAGTCTCAGTGCTGATGAATATCACATCCAATAAGACAACTACGGCTTAAGAAATTTGTACTGGGGACACTAACATAATTTTCTAAATAGGTAATAAATCTTTAATAGCAGTTACCAAAACAAAACAGCAATAACTCAGGGGCCTTAATTAAGGCATGTCTCTGACAGAGGATGTTCCATTTGTTAAAAAAAAAAAAGATGATGTGTTTATTCTCATATTTCCCTATAGTCTACTCCTGGAGTTGAGTTTAATAGCTGCAACCTCAAGTGGATGGTTTTAGTATCGACAAGAACCTTTCCAGTGGCTGTTGAATCAAGTGTTATTTTGCCACTCCATTTTTCTCTATTTTCTTTCTTGTTCTTTAATTCTTGGTCTCTAACTGTAGTAGCTTCAACATTTAACTCCAGAACTTGGAGGTTTCAAGGCAGTCTTTAAAAGGTTTGTTTAAAATGTATTAGACAGATGGCATTAATTTATCTCTTTTATATCCTAACACAACAAAGAGGTAAAGCAAACTAACATTAAGAACCAGGGGTTTGGGGCAAGAAACCACAAAAGCTACCTGTTTCAGTGACTTCACAGGTTTTGCAAGGAGGATGTTTGCTTTCTGCTTTATGTAGCTTTCTATACTCATTCTGTAAGATTTGAGTTTAAAATGCCCTTTCTGCCTGTCTTACTCATTATATCCTCTCAGAAAATATCCTTTCAGTTGGGAAAATGTTACTTTAGCAAAGCATGCTTTTAACAATTTCTATTAAGCAACACTGGGAAATGGGTTAAAATTGAATCCCTCACCTTCCACCTTTCACTTGGCCTGAGTAGTTTGTGTCTCTTTCAGGGTAGATACACATGTAGCTTCACATTTTCAACTATATCTAAATAGATTAGCCTTTACGTAAGAACTCTGTAGAATGTCTTATTTTATCCCAAGCTCAGTATCAAAATCAAAACTCTTTACTATTCCTTCTGAGCACTCCATGCTCTCCAACTTCTTCAATTCTCTCTGCTACTCTCTATCCTAAGAACCTTTATGTCCAGTGACCTATTTAGGCTGGAACAAAGAGATCATCTGGCCAGGGGAGCAAGGAATCTCATGTTATTCACAACCCCATAAGTGCCTGAACTTGGCCAGCTTCACAACTTGCAGTATCTCCAGGACGTACCGCACAGACTCCTTACTATCAGTCAAGTCGGGGAGGGAATGTCGCTGCAGAGAGAAACAAATTTCTGAAACTAAGTACAAAATCTCTGAATTATGTTGGTGGTGTGTTTCAAATCTGTTTTGTTTTCCAAAGCTGTTCCTTTATTTTAGCAAACTCAATTGATCCCTGAATTTCTCATCTGTATGTAAGTTCTAAAGTTTAGACTTCTGATATGGAGTTTGTATCTAATGCAGTGCTATTCTTATGAACCTGCTTGGCAGCTGGGGAATCTTTTAATCACCTGTGATATAGGTAGAAATGATTGCAGGGTTTTCAAAATTCACAGGTAAAAACTGAAAGCTACAATGAAATGTGTAGTGTGCTTCTTCCACCAAGAAACATTATACCTGAGTTTCTAATAGTTAGTAAATCTGGCTCAAATATTTTTGTACTGCCAGCCATATAAAAGAAGAGATCCATACTACCTAGTTTTACTTATTTTGTTTTTTTGTGTGACCCTAGAGATGAGAAAACTAGTGGGATTATCAAAAGGTAATATCAAGATGTAGGTAATGTACAAACGGGTTTACTGTGGATTATGGATTGTCATAGAGGATATCAAAAAATGCTTTTCCAGTACTATAATACAGAGAGACTTCTAAGTGTCTATGAACCAGGAATAACTAAGAGTTATTTCCACTGCTCCCTGAGAATCTCATTGCAATATTTGAAAGTTATTCATTTTCATCTCTATGGAGTTTGTTTTATATGTTCTGAAACCATTATTAATTCAGAAAATAAAATTAAATAAACTATCTTTAGATAGAATATACTAGAGCTAGTCACAAGTACAAGGCTTGAACAGGTGGACTGGGTTTTCCCTTCTTCTGAGAGCTCTGAAAAGCATTTGAGAATTAAATCCAGGCCTGGGTTTCTCTATTTTGCAACCTTTGTGGTGATCTGTTTTTATGTTACAGGCAATGAAAGCTTAGAAGAAAACTACGTGCAGGACAGTAAGATGGGGTTTGTCATCAATGCCATCTACGCCATGGCACACGGGCTGCAGAACATGCACCACGCCCTGTGCCCAGGCCACGTGGGCCTCTGTGATGCTATGAAGCCCATTGATGGCAGCCAACTCCTGGACTTTCTCATCAAGTCCACGTTTGTCGGTGTGTCTGGAGAGGAGGTGTGGTTCGATGAGAAAGGGGATGCTCCTGGAAGGTAAAGCAGTCTTTTCCGTAGAGGCCAATAACCTTGTGGTCCTCGCTGAGCGAGACAGGTGGTCCTCTGGCTCCCTTTGGTTCCATGGTTTCTGGGTGGGTAGATACACTTAGCTAAAAGTACAGTGAGCATTAGATGGCAGTTATGTTATCAAATGTTGAAAACCTTATTGGTGAAAACAACTCTGCATCCTGCAAGTGCTACCCTGTTACCCAGCGATCACCCCAGCTCTTCCCTTGGAATACCTGGGGTCTCCCTGCAAATCCAAGAAGCTACAGAGATTACTCCTGACCAGCAGGACCCTTCTGGCAATGCCAGGATCTTCCTGATTGATTGGTCCCACAGTCATACTGGTTGTGAAATATTTTACTATTACCCCTGCTTAAAAAGCTTAACATATGAAGAGAACCAAGCCCTACCCATGTGTCCCCTTTTCTCAGGCTATCTTACATTCCTGCTAACATGTCTCTTAGACCAAGAAAGAATTCTTTCTGGTATTGAGCCTATGGCTTCCAAAGAATTAATCAAAAAGTAAAGGAAAGTTAAACCAAATATACATATTTCCCAAGTCATTATATATATATAGTCTGTTCTGCAAAACTTGCTTTTATAAGACAAGTTAGCTCATATGATGTCAGTATAAAGAGTAGTTGCGATCATTCATACGAATTTCTGTAGGAAAGGAATATTCAGGATAGTAGGACAAGAATTAAAACTTGCAAGATGGAAGAAAAAGGCCCTCAGCTTGGCTGCTGCACATTATACCCACAGTCTTTTTTTTCTCTATAAGCCCTGTTATTTTTCAGTGTATGATTTTGCAGAATGAGAGATTTAGGAAAGCATATGTTGTGTTAAAATGGAACATCAAATCACTTAATCCTCACTGCTATAGGCATATCATTATCCTCCTTTATAGATAATAAACTTGAGTGTCAAGAAACTAAGAAACTCACCTAAATTCATGCAAAAGTAGCTGGTAGAGACAGTGTGGTCTGAATCTGAGGCTTGTAATCTTTTTGCCACATGACTCTGCCTGTTAGCTAATCCTACAAATAGGCAAATTTGCTGGCAACCTTCTTAATGTCATTTCAAAGGTGCTTTAAGAGACTATTTGACCCTAGATAATTCTCCATCTGTCTCTTTCTTTCATGAAGTCTTAAAGTCCTACATTTAGAGAGGGCCTCATGGGGCCTAAGGACATTCTCTCTGCTAAAACCCTAAAGCTCTAGGAAAGATAAATGATATGAGAAATTGTCAGCAATTGAAATGATAAACTTATCAGATTCATTCCAATCTGTTGGTAAGGTCGGAGCAGAGTTAGACTGCAATGTGAGTGGGATGGATGAAATGATCTGGAGCCTGGGCATGTGAAAAGTTTCCGGGTGCTCAGGACCTTAGGAAATGGTTCCAGAAGAAACAAGTGGGTGAGATTCAGAACACTGACCATTCACCCCTTTAAGCCCATGGTTATAATCCTGAATTCCACTGGAAACAAAACTCTGTAAAGGATCAAATTTGCAATGGAAACCTTCCTGCATGCTTCTGTAAGGTAATGTACACAGTGTACCTATTACAGGACCAGCCAGATGCATTTTAGATACCCATAGATATGAGTTTCCACCTCTTCTATCTGTAAGTTATCCAAAATACAGGTACACCATTTTAGCTTGTTTCTACTCCATCTTTAATTACATTTAAATCATAAGCATTCCCCTGGATCCCTTTCCAAGGGTCACTTCCTCATGTTTGAAATTGGTCAGTTTGATCTGTGTTCAATTTCTGTTTCAACCACCTCCTCTGCTTTCGTCTCCTGTCAGGCCCNACTCCATCTTTAATTACATTTAAATCATAAGCATTCCCCTGGATCCCTTTCCAAGGGTCACTTCCTCATGTTTGAAATTGGTCAGTTTGATCTGTGTTCAATTTCTGTTTCAACCACCTCCTCTGCTTTCGTCTCCTGTCAGGCCACCATTCATGCTTTCGGTTCCTCTTGTAATTATTTTAATTATCCTGCAACATAAACTGGATGCATTGAGAGGATATTCCAAATAAATACTAATATGCCAAGAAAAGACTCTGGGGTCCAGAGAAAAGAGGATTTTTCATTAACACACACAGCACAGGGAACACCTTATTTTAGTAAGTTAGTATTTTTCCCTTGGTATCTTTCAGTACATTTTTTCCCCCCAGCTTTTGGGACTTTTCAAAAAATGTGTTTTCATAACAAAATATTGTGAAATTTTCAGTTTCTAAATGCTAATGAAGTGTGAACTGATTTCTCCTATTGGAGAGAAAATGAGGAAGTTGAAATAAAAGTCTTAAGAAACTGATTTATAGGAAAAAGGTGTTCTAATGCTAGCATCACACCTACGCCTTCATTGAAAATATATGATATAAAAGGATTGAAAGGAGGTATAAAAATGTAATATGGGGTAAATCATAAAAATGAAAGAAAGTGAAGAAGGAAATTACTCATATCAAACATTAACTGCAGGTTCTATAACCATAATGAGTTTAAAATTGAAAAATATTGGGGCTGTAGATGAGTATCCTTGACCAGCAGGATGAGCCGCCATCCCACCGGCAATACCCTATTGGGTATCTGAGGAACCACCTGGTATGTCTCAGCAACACGGAGATTAAGAACTCCCTGTTAGCCGAAAGTCAGAACAGCAAAAACATGAATAATGTGCTCCAGGAAAAGCTTCCCTTACTTTCCCAGAGGCCCCTTTCCCTTTAGGGATTGCTCTTTATTGAAATTGCCAGTATCTGGATGTGGAGAAGCCACCAGCTCCCCTGTGGATAACAGAATGCATCTGCACATGAAGAGCAGGCTGAAACGCCAGTAAAAGAAATTAGTTGTCTAGATAAAAAGCTAAGTCAGGTATAGCCCACAGGTTTCAGGTGCCAACTAAGGTTGACTGGTAATG